CAAAGATTTTATAGACAAAAAGAACACTAGAGTACCTGAATTTCTTGAAGTGGTAGCTGAACACCAAGAACCCAAGAAAACTGACTCGGAGGAAACAACACAAGATGGTCGAAAGAAATCACGTGCTGTTAGCATTGCCAAATCACAATTTGGATCAACGGAATATGTATATTAAGTGGGTAGGTTTTTGATAATGCCAGAGGACTAAGTAGATCTGATTTTGCGAGTCTAAAGTAAGGTCAAAATAAACGCAATCATGCAAGTCTGTAAAGTTTCTCTTTAAAATCAATTTATTCTTTCCGAGAAATACCTCAAATTGAACAAATAAATACTTTATATAGTACACTGTTTATTTGATATTAAAAATAATATCATGTACTCTTTGTAATAAAGTGTTCAAAAATTGTTCCAAGAAAGAATAGTTTACTTGAATTATTATTTTTTATCTTAAATAAAATCTCAGGCTTGTGATATAGTACACCATCCAAATGTACCCGTTAAATTTAATTAGTCCACGGCAATAAGAAGGAGTCCAGCCATCAAGACTACTGCCCCCAGAAACATGACAATAGTGAACCAGTGACGCTGGAACCATGATGGCTCAATTATTTCTTCTTTTTGCTTCCTTGGACGCCGTTTCTTCCCTCGCTGTTTCCTCTCAAACCACTCCAGCTCCTCCTAGGTAAATAACAAGATGGCAAATTATAGTTATCGTAGCAGACACAGTGTGTAATGGTAAGTGCATTGTTTACCATGTCAAGAAATCAGAGTTCCAAACCCAGTAAGGTCATTGTGTTGTGTTCTTGGGAAACAGTGCCTCTCTCCACTCAGGAGTAGAAATGGGTACTGACGAATTGTCAGGTAAGCCTGATGAAATGCTGCTGTGGGGGGAAGGGGGGTTAGGGTTAGGGTTGGGGGGGGGTACTTGAAATGGACTGGCATCCCATTCAGGGAGGGAGTAGTACTCCTCCTTCCATCCTAGTTGCTTCATGCTATTGAAACCTGGATAAGATCTGGCTGGATGGACCACTTTGCTCGAGTGCAGACTACACCTTTACCTACCATATAGTTATCCTTAGGCTAACTGTACTTAGGCTACTGTACTAAAAATCTTCAAGAATCATCGGTTCTAAGAACTAGTATTTAAAATGATTTCTCTGCGCAAAGTGAAAGATTGTGGGTAGAAAAGAGAGTTCACATTGCTTGTTTGAAGGGTTCTGAATGATGAAAGTTGAGTTCAAGTTACCTGTTGTGCTTTAAGTTCTCCTTTTTTCCTCATCTCATCTTCTTCACTCAACAATTTCTTTTGTTTAGCTTTAAATGTTTCACACTCTTCATCACAAAGTAACTTAGCTTCACCTTTCTGCACCATGCGGCAGGGAAAATCCTTGATACAGAAAAGAAACACCACAGTTTAATCATGGCTTGTCAAGCTAAACAGTCTCAAAGCACACTTAAGTTCATTTTGATTCACTGTTGTGTAACAAAATCAATCATCCAAAACAATGGAGCCAATGAGGACTCGTAAGCAGAAAACTCCTTAAAACATAACAGAAGAATGACCAAGTTATGACCTTTGGTTTACATTTAGAACCTGACTTATTGCAATAGCACAAGAGTGCAGCAAAGCAATACCAGTACAGTGCCACATTACTTTTATTATCCACTTACTCTGCATTGGACCATACAGAAGACTTACCTTCTTTTTACGGCGACAAGGACACCTCACAGAAGACTTCCTATTGCACAGCGCAGAGGATGGGCAGGGGCCGTAATGACAGTTGGATGAACACCGGTGACCACAGACTACTAGATTCTTTGGACACTGATTCTTACAGGACATTAGTTCATTGCGAGTTTGTTCATCCACTGAGGTTAATTCACTAGGAGACAAAAAGCATCAGAAGGAGAATGTTTTTGAACTCCTCCTTCAGAAATACATACCACATATTAAAGATTAATAACATGATGAACTTTATAATGTCACATGCAGTATCTTACCTACATGACACATAAACCAGCATTAAGCCACAATGACAAGGAAGCTTCACCATCTGCTTACATTTTGGACAATCTCCTGTGATTGAGAAAAAACAATAACATGTTGCACTAAGCCAGAATAGACAGTATTGTGAATTTTTGCAAAAGAACCTTCATTTTAATAAGATCATCCTGAGGAACTCTTGACATAAGTAATAACAATCATGATATAGTTGAAATTTTTTTATACAAGAAAAACTTTCATTGATCATTTGCTCACCAATGTGACATGGTAGAGGGCAAAGATGTGTGCATCCCTCTGGCCGAGGTTTCTCGCAAGCTTCCTCACAATCTTGGCATTCTTTACCTGCCTAAATCAATACCAAAACCAAAAGAGTAATTTTTCAAAACCATGATTTTTTGTAAGAACAGCCACTCAGTTAGATTTCTGTGTCACCACTACCCAGTTTCTGTTTCCATGAAACCATGACCAGCTTGAACCAAGAAAGACACGTTGTTGTAATTATCTGAGTACAAGTTTACCTGTTGATTATCAACTACACCAGTGACAACATGACATTCCAGTTGGCAAGTGTGGTTTCCACAATGAAGCTGACGGCCACAAGGTCGAGCACATGAAAATGGCTTGGCAGAAGAACAAGCAAGAGAGCTGATCTGGGCGGGAAAAATTAACACAGGTTAACTTACTAGAAAAAAAATTGATACAGATACTTTTAAGAAGTTTAATACAAGTTAAAGGAAACAAACTTGACAGGGACAATTAGGTGGAGGCTGTAAAAATACAAGCTGTACAGTTCAGAAGTTGCCTAACGAGTGAATTTTAAGGATACATTAACATCAAAATGGAAAGGTTAGAAAACACACCTCATGCTTGCCAAGGCAGCTCCTAAAAATGGCAACAACAATAAATATAAACTCAGGTTGATTGAGTCATAATGACAGGGAAAAACATTGATAAAATTGCAAATTATCACTTGACTAGCCTACACAGCAGTCCTTTCATTTGCTTTAAGCCACACAGAAGAAATCAGAGTTGCACAGAGGCAGGAGGGAAGAGTGAAAGAAGTAACGATGAAATTGAAAAGATTCCTATGTAGGCAGAGCTCTTCACTACTTACATCTCAACTGGAACAACACATGGGGGACAAGGTACTGGTTCCTTCTTAGTACTCTCTGAATTTGATTTAGATACAGCCGGGAATCCATTTGAAAACGACTAGAAACAAAATGACAACTGTAAAACATCTACAGTTGAGGACAACACCACTAGAGGGCATATGGGTATTATCATTTCATTGAAATCAATCGTCTTATCATGAGTATGACATTCATAACTAACATACAAAACCTTTAAGAGTTTTGATTGGTCACGTTTGTTGTCATGGCAGCTGACAGGACAAGGGTGCCCACAAGGAAGTGGCAGATCACAGCGCTGGTGGCAAGGAGGGCAGGAGCCATAATGACAGTGATGACGCTGAAGGACAAACATAAAAAGACAACTTAACAAACCCATTTAATCACAACATCATTCTCGATCTAAAGTACATGTCGCAATTTAAAATCAAATTCTGATCAAATCGGTGACAGGATAGTACATTCGCTTTGTGCTTCCTGTTGCCATAACAACAGACATAAAGCAACTACCGCTAATGCAAACATGTTTTACAACTGTTTTCATAGATAGATAGGTTTCTAAAACTTACTTTGCGTTTTGGGTGATGACAATCTGGAGGATGGCTGTAAGAGATATAATTTTTCTGTTACAATATAGTAAGAAATATTTCATCCCAATGTTACATCACAATTCAAAGAGAGGACAGAAATCGTAGCAATTTGAAAATATGTCTCTGGTGACTAGAAACATATGGGAATTAAGGCACACTTTCCCGAGGTCACACAATAGCAGGCAATGTAATTGACTATTATATACGTTGACAAAAGTAGGTAGTCCTCTGATCCTGGTAATAACCATCAAAACATGCAAATACATGAGGGGTTCCATTTAGCTTGGATTTTCATATTTTTATTAATGGACAAGCATTGATGAAACAAAAACCTCAGAAAGAACACATATTAAGAGCCGCATCCTAACCTGCAAAATTCAGCACATTTAGGTGGCTTGGTAACTTTTTCACGTCCACAGGGTACTGTAAGAATTGTAGAACCACAGAAACACTTCACATCTACCTGGAGGGGACATGGGTAACATGGTCCTACATATGAGAGAATATAGGAATAAAGAAATAAATAACTGTCCAATAAATCTTATACACTGACCAAAGTGTTAGGTCAACCACTGCAACAAAGACATACAAACATCAATTTGATACAATGCGCAATACCTCTGTGACATTGTGATGGGCATTTGTGGTTCCTGCAGTTCAGATTTCGATTACAAGTTTGTTCACATGGAGGGCAACCTCCATCACAACACTGCAAACAAATCATAGACATAAATGAATAAGTAGCATCAATTAATTAATGATGGTATTTTAAGTATGATTACAGACAGAATTGGACTACACAAAGTCCTGTCACCAATTTATTAAAACTATGACAAAATTCGAGAGAGAAACAAGACATTTGTTACATGTTTGCGTTAGAAAAACAGTTAACTCTGAAAAATGCGAGTCAACAGTGCACGCACAAGATGCGTTCAGTCCACTTATACGGGCACGACGTGTTAACTGCCCCTTTAACTGTCCTATTACTCTGTCCAATTACAAGCATGATACATACACTGCCCTATTAGTGCCCATATCGGGCTGGTGATAACCAATCAAGCGTACCCTTTCCTATTTGTGCTCAAATCGGGCTGGTGATAAGTAATCACGTTTGAGAATTTTGTTACAGTTTTGATTAGGAGCATACAATTTTAGCCATCAGGCTGCAG